ACATATTTAGCCGAGTTCTACGCTCAGCTATGTGTTGTTAAACTTTTTAACGAGCTTACCTTTACAAATAGGAGTAAGACAAAGATCATAATAGTAGACAGAGCTCGGAATAATCTTCAACATCATCATCATCATTAGCCATTTTGCGTCCACTGCTGAACATAGGCCTCCCGTAAATAATTTCATTGCCTCCGATCTTGAGCAACTTGAATCCAGTTAGACTGGATGCGCTTTAAATCGTCCGACCCCCTTGTTGGAGGACGTCCTCGACTACGATAAGCATCGTGTCTAGGCCTCCACTCTAAAATTTTCTTTGTCCATCTTCCATCTCTGACCCTAGCAACATGTCCTGCCCAGTTCCGTTTCAGGGTTGTAATTCTTTCAACTGCGTCCGTCACACCAGTTTTTCTGGTGTAATCTTCAACACATTAAAGAAATTAAGGGCTTTGAAGTAGTAAATAGTTTCACATACCTAGGGTCCCTAATAATAAATGACGGAGGGTATGACAGAGAGATACGTAGAAGGTTGACTATTGCTAGAACAGCTATGATGAAACTGGTAGCAATTTGAAAAATTCTAGCATAACAATACACACAAAACTAAGGCTGGTAAGGGCGTTCATTTTTCCCATATCCACATATGCATCCGAAACGTGGATCTTAAAGAAAGCTGATAAAACTAAACTGGAAGCTTTTGAAATGTGGGTATACCGCCGCACGTTGAGAATATCCTGGATTTATAATCGCACTAACGTGTCGATATTAGAAGAACTTAAAGTAAGGGATATATTGCTTAAATAAATATAACAGAGATATTTGCAGTATTTTGGACACATTGCTAGAAGAACAGGTACGATGGAAAAACTGATAGTCGAGGGTAGAGTTGAAGGAAAGAGACCTAGGGGAAGATCTCCAAGCCATTGGGTAGATCAAACAAAAATATTGATTAACCAAGGGTTACATGAAGCCGAACAACTAGCTCAGGACAGAGAAGAATCGAGGGAAATCGTGAAAAACCTGTAAAGGCCCCAAAAGGGATTAGGACTTAGGAGGAGGACCTTCACAATAGCCCTGATCATAACAGATTCCCTTAGCTCTCTAATCTCATTAAAATATATTTTTCCAAAACATCCTTTTGAAAAGCTACTAAAATACAAGTTGTCCCAAGGTTATCAACATGGAAGAAGAGTTCAATTTTTGTGGGTACCCTCACATGTCAGAATAATGGAAAACGAAGAAGCTGACAGGACTGCACGACAGGCAATTTTAAGCGATTATTCGGAGCCTATAGACAAGTGTGTTTCAAGTTACTTAAAAGTTTATTTTAAAAATAAAGTGTTGTGTTTGTGGCGAAATGAGTAGTCTCAAACTAATTCTAAGAATAAGTTCAAGAATAATGCTTTCCAGTGTATTCCATCGTTGTTTATAGTGTATTTTTATGTATGAGATAGTAATAAAACAATAAATTATATATGCAAATCCCTAAACTGTTGATACGGGTGACTCAATGAAAAACAGATATTTGTCAACAAGTTTACAGAAGTATATAGGAAAACAATTTTAAATTGAGTATGACCACCATGTATAAAGGTTGGAGCAGAATAGAATACAATAGTTGTGAGGGTTACTAATCCCTAAATAAGGTTGCCAGTGTCGGAGTGATGGAGGTTAACAGGTACTAATGAATTTGCAAGAAATGTAAGATGTTTATTTTATTGGTTATATATAACCAATAAAAGTTTAATAAGTACCTACCCATTTGCAAAATAAAGTTTAATTCTTTAGATAAAATAAAACGTTTTATTTTATCTGAAATGAGTGCATTCCACGAAGTAAGGGTTTCAACAATCAAACATTTAATTCTTTAATTCCAGGAATCTACGACAGTAATTGACTAGATAATTACCTTCTAAACTTATTCCACAGAAAATGTGATAGTGGGTTTTTCCATTTTGTAGGAAGGTCCAAGTGGCGTATTCAAAATTCTTACAGTTCACTAAAAGTAGGTACTTCAGTTGCAAAGTGCAGTTTATTGTGTATACTAGTGTTATGGAAAATTTGGAAGTGCCGTGTAAACGCCGAAAAATTGGTCGTTTAACAGTTAATGAAAAAACAATAATATTTAATTGTTTTAAATCATTTACACACAAACGTTTATGTGAAAGTGTTAATGAGACCGTTGAGTTAGTTAGCAGTACACTTGGTGTTGGGAAATCTACGATTTACAGAGTTAAAAAGAAGAGAAATGTGGTAGTTTTCAAATGCCACGTAATGCTCCAGGGAAACCAAAATTACAAATAGAATATCATTTTAAAGAAGGACTTCGACGGAAAGTGCATGAATTCTTCTTTAGACAAGAATTTCCAACATTGGATAAAGTTCTTGTCTCAGTTCGAGATGATAAGGATTACCCAGAAATGAGTCGAAGTACGTTATGAAAACTTTTAAAAGAAATAGGATTCCGCTGGAAAAAGAATCCCAGAAAGTCTATTTTATTAGAAAGAAGCGATATTGTCATATGGAGAAGACATTTTTTAAGAACCATAAAGGAAATGAGAAACCAAAAAAGAAAAATATTTTATTTTGATGAAACATGGATCAACAAGGGTCATACACCAAATAAGTTTTGGCAGGATGAAACTGTTACAAGTCAAAGGCACGCTTTTGTAAATAACTTATCTACTAGTTTAAACCCACCATCAGAAAAGGGACGCAGGCTGATAATAGTACACATTGGCAGTTCAGACGGTTTTGTTGAAGGTGGTCTATTAACTTTTGAATCAACTTGTACCGGTGACTACCATGAAGACATGAACGCTGATGTCTTTCAAGAATGGTTCGAACAAATGATAGATCTTCTTCCTAAGAACTGTGTAATAGTAATGGATAATGCAAGTTATCACTCCAGACTTATAGAAGGACTGCCCACAACCAAGTGGTTAAAAAAATACTTGCAGAATTGGCTGAGTTCAAAACATATTATTATATTGTGTGCCCTTCATAAAGAAAAATTTAAAAAATACGAAATTGATGAAATTGCCAAAAATCCTGGAATGACAGTACTTAGATCCCCACCATATCATTGTGAATTAAACCCGATTGAACTGGTATGGGCACAGATAAAGAGTGAAGTTTCAAGAAAAAATACCACTTTTAAAATTCATGATGTTAAACAGTGGTTTTTGGAGGCCGTAAATAATGTAAAACCTGAAAACTGGGAAAAGGCAGTAAATCACACTATTAAAGAAGAGGAAAAAATGTGGAAGCTGGACAATATTACTGATAAAATGATTGAGCCAGTTATTATAAATCTTGGTTCTGAAAGTTCATCTTCTGAATCTGATTTGGATTTGTAACAAGTAGCTGTAAGTTTTATATTAATATTTTTATTCATCTATTTAACATACCTTAGACGGTTTTAAAAACTCTTTTTCTCTTTTGTAATTTTTAAAAATTAAAAAAAATGTGAATTTTTTAAAACCCTTTTTAATGTAGGCCAGTCAGTTCTAATATAGTGTGTGATAAAAGAGGTCACTTTTGTTTACATACACATAACACTTTATAACACTGAAATAATTCATTTATTTTTTACAATTATTTAAAGTAATTTTTCAATTAATCTTGAGCACGCCCATGGAGTGGTCGAAGGTACCAGTTAAAATTATGCTAATTACTCTCTCGTTCATAAAAATAAACTATAACAGGCGTGAACAATTGTGGTAAATATGATTCAATATGCAGAAGCTTTAGGTCAGGAGTGTTCATAGATAATACAATTAAATATCTAAGATCTATAAACATTTTCTATAATCTGTAGTTATTCAATTTTATCATTTATATTTTGTTCCGTCGCTAATAACTTTTTGGTGCATGCGACTTTTTTTAAATAATAAAAAATAAAAACAGGATGAAGCTATAACTAAAAAACTTTTAAACTTTTGTACCCGAATCTTTAAGAAAAATTCAGAAAATATACTGGCCCAATAGAATAACTAATATAAAATTATGGAAAAGACAAAGCAAACTAACAAATCTATTACAGTCAAGGAACAAAATAGAAACGGATTGGCCATACTTTGAGGAAAAATCAAGCAACATAGAGAGACAAGCACTTGAATACAAACTATGGCGGAAAGGAAAAAGGGGAAGACCAGACAACAGCTGAAAAAAAAAACTACAAGGAGAAAATACGAAAAAATTGGATTAAGATGTGGTGCAGTCAAAAACACAACAAGAAACAGAATATAATGGAAGGAACTAGTACACAGTTTATCCAGAAAATAAACAAAGAAAGAAGATGCGCTGAGGCGGCCAGTCAGTTTAGCCAAGAAACGCATAAGCACACAATACTCCACAAGGAGGGATAGAAATAAAGATATATAGATATATAATATAATAATAAATACCGTATATTTTATACATATGGTGTGTCCAAGTACGGGTCTGACTTCACTCGATCTTCTCAAATAATTGTTTCTCTCATGCGCAGTCAATAATAATGGATCTATTAAATCATTGGTCCATTATATCAGCGCATTATTTCATTTAGTTTCGCTTATCCGGTTACGAGTAATTAACTCACTGCTGCCACAACACATAACTTTTGAAAAGATTGGTATCCACTGGTGCTAGTGGACGCAGGCAGCACATTATCGCGGAACAGAATGAAATGGAAGTAAACAACTCTGAGTGGATCTATGAATGGATCGAAGAAATTATGCAGAGTTTTCCGTAATTAGAAGAATATTTACAAAAAAAAAACAACATGCGTACAGAATATTAAGATGATGTTCTGTTTCAAATAGAAAAAAAAATGCAATTAATTTTACATTAGCTGACTTTACATTAACCCTCACTTTTGTGTTTGTGACGAAACAGAAGCTAAAAATTCTGAAAAAAATAACCAATTGCATTATTATCGAATATGTCTTTTGTTTACAGGCTATATCAGATATTTGTATTCCGCGATAATGTGCAGCTGGCTTAATAAAAACACTTTCTTGTATTAAAAATTTATTACGTCTTACCGATAATAAATATTTTTAATAAAACAAAATATCAAAGAGATTATTGAAACACAAGCAGTATTTTTAAGACGTTCACATTTATAAAATGTGATAAAACGTTTACACGTATTTTACTAAAGTATAAATGTTTTTTCGGGGACGCTCCTCCTCCAAAGTTTTAAACTCCGCAGCGTAATTGTTTCTTCGATTTTTCAAATTCAGCCAGTGGCACAATTGACTCTGAAATAAAAGAGACACTAAACAAAACCAGTTTCACTATGATTCGGCGACATTTTAGAGTTCAGGAATGAAGCCAATAATAACTAACGAGAATATTATTAAGAGAACACCAAAGAGTTCTCAATATTTCTTCCATACATGATTCTAACAATCTCAAGTTGATTTTTAATACCCTATGTAATATTTCGCATTGGGATATGTTATCAGTAAGAGAAATGTGTTAAAACGAGGTAAAATATGGTCGCTTTAATCTTTAAATAGTAGCAAAATCACATATATTGGCAACACCGTAAAGCTACCTAGTGGTGACCTATGTACCTATGTATGGCCGTATTTTTTTTTTGCAAAACAAGGCTCGAGAGAAACCTCTGTAGGCCTCTAACCACCGTGTAAAAGATGTGCAACAAAAGAGGTTTAGAAATGGCTGATAAGGAATCATACAAAATGGAGAGCCGCAAATTTTATTTATCAATTTTTGTATTTTGAGAACGATTTCTGAAGAGGAACTTATTTTAAAGTAAAATTGTGGCTTATTCCCAATAAAAATAGTAAGCTGCCATTTAAATTAATTGTCACAGGACAATCAAAATTAGGTGAATAGATACTAATCTACGGTGGAGTAGCAAAAGAAAACAGGACCAAAGAACGTTTACCATTACTAATCCAAAGGTACCAAAATCACATAAAAGTGTCAATACATAAATGATTGTAAGAGCAATGATATAAATGAAAACGGAGTATACGGCCCAAAAAATAACAAGCCTCAAACAACAAGGGAAACGTTTCATGACGAATTGCAACAAGTAGTAGATCAAGTCAGAGGGAGGATGATAATATTGGGGGATTTATCGCACAAATAGGCAACCAAGTAATACCCGGAATTAAGAAAAAACATAACAAGAATGTTACAAACGAAAATGGAGAACTGATGATAGATAAACTTCTGCACGAATAACGTACTTAGAATAAACAACACATTTTTTTGACTACAAAGACCAACACAAATATACATTCAATAAAACCGTGGACAAAGACTTATGATAGAATTACGTTATAACCAACACACATCCATTAAAAATAATCGACGTAAGATACCTCAACTCAGCATATGTAGGTAGTGGAATTAGCTTATAGCCTGTCCCACCTTGACTTTACAGTACAGGTTCTTATGACCAACAGTGATGCCAAATTTGATTAGAAACAGGTTTAAAGCAAATATACCTTTTCTATTCGCTCCGTGTGTAACCATGGTAGGGGTACCTTGAAACGATGCCAGCGTGCGTAGCGGCGGAATATGACAAAATTGGACCTATCTTTTACGCATAAATTTTATCAAAAATGGGTGCAAATACATGTTGCGTATTTAATTGTGCTAATAATAGCTAAAAATAGTGAGTGTAGTTTTTGTAGGTTTTCAAAGATTACCTATAAATTAGAGGAAAGAAAAAGATGGATGCGTGCTATTAACATGAAAAAGTAAATATCACATAATTTTATTTTTATGCAATTGAAATGGGAAAAATTTAAATAATTTACCTTAAATGTTATTTCATAAGGCTTCAAGCTAACTGCAGCCTGCCTGATGTCTTTAGCTTTTATATCATAACTTTTGCTATCATTGTTTTTAACTCAAAATAAAAACGTGTACATGCTCTTCCACATGAAAATCTTGATTTGTCAGTATTAGATTTTTCCCTTTCTTTTCCGTTTGGGGTTGAAAAGATAAATTATGATGAATTTTTTGAAACCCAGTTTTTAATACTACATTCAGTTTGTACATAAACTGAAGAAATCTAATTAAACAACTAATTATTAATAATTGTCAATTTCGTATGTATTTAACATACGTTTAACCTCAAATTGGGAGGTCCAAAACTGTCAGATAAAGGCAATAGATGTCGCGTCAGTCACGTACGGAGCAAATAGGATAACTTAGGATAAAAATAACTTAGGAATTATTATTATTGGCAATTTGGGGCTGTCAGGGGTTCTCAAACATTTTTTTTTTTCGAAAAATACCTTTATGTGAATAAAATAAAAATAATTTTGTAAGTGTGTTCTTCACCACTAGGACCAACTGAACATTTTCAATGTGCTGATGAAGGTGACAGCCTATCACCGAAAATTTCACATTTAGAATAAAGTTCTACACCAAACTGGCTTATACCATCTCTAGCCGATCCTTGACTTGACGCTTTCCCGAAAGTTACCTACCAAAGTTTTATATATATATATATATATATATATATATATATATATATATATATATATATATATATATGCAGCAATGTTATGAGTTAGTTGATAAGATATAATCGTACTGTAAGCTTATAAATAAGTATATTTACAATTAGAACCGCTCGTTTTACTAAACACGTTACAGTGGTGTTATGGTGTGAGGTAATTTATTAATTAAAAAAAAACAGTGAACAGTGACTTTTGAACATTTATAAAGTACTTGTGTGCCTGACCAAAGATTCAGCTTGCAGAACTGTCAGTAAAACAATTACGTGAACAACTTAAGGAACGAGATGAAGACTCCAGCGAGTCCAAGAAGATCCTTCAAGAACTACTGAAGGATCTTCTAAGCAAGAATGAGAATAACGCAGATACATTCTAGTTTTAGTCAGCAGAAGAAGCAGTTTTAACGAAAATAAATGAGAAATTTGAAAATGGTTCTCAAATAATTAGGAACACTTCTAAAAATAATGATGATCAATTCGAAAATGTTTAATAAATAATTAAGGAAACTTCTAAAAAGGATGATCATTATCATCATTTTGGCTTTACAAGCCTGTGTGGGTCCTAGCTTCCCCAAGAATTTTTTTCCAGTCGTCCTATTCATCGCCTTCCTCCGCCAAGCACAAAAAGAATGATCAAACATTCGAAAATGTTTCTCAAATGATTAAAGAAACATTTAGCAAAAATAATGAGAGATTCGCTGAAACGTCTCAAATTATTAAAGAAGCAGCTAGATAAAACGTCAGGAAATTCGAAAACGTTTCTAGAAGATTCGAAGAAACTTCCCAAATAATTAAAGAAGAATGTACTCAGAACAATTAGAAATTTGATTTCTGATACAGCTTTCAATTCTCCGCGAACAATTTTCAGACATTTCTTACTGTTTCTAACCTCAAAGACACAAACATTTCTAATCAGACAAACAGCATAGAGCACCAATAAATACTTTATGATTTTCTATTATATTATAAAAAAAAGTGTATTTTTCTTAGTGTTTATTTACATTAGATTTTATCTTCTAGACGAAATTGTCGGAATGGGTAGATAAAAAATAAAAAGCAATTATTGATTTCTAAAATTAACCAGTGGGTTAGGATTAACCAACAACAAACAAAAAACTTAACAATTTACAGTTTCTGTAAGCACAGCGCTTGCGAAGATTAAAAATCCGCACTCTAATCCACGAATCCAATGGACCTGTTTCTGACCGATCATGTATCAGAAAAACTCCTCGAACATCAAACTTTCTGTTAAAGTCACAGATTTTTATCACCAAGGACGCATATCACTAACTGAGAATCAGATTAGTGTAATTTGTTCAGAAGATGGTAGAGGTTGACACAAACTACATAAGAATGATGCGGATATACGTAGTTTTCAAAATGACCGATTAAATTATAAAATTTATTATACGTGACATACCTGTAATATTAGAACATCTGACACCCTGTAGTAGGCCTCTACCCTGAGAAACTCAGCTTTACACCTTTCCAATGTATCTGTACATTTTTCAAGTAATTTTCTTCTCTTCTTGTCTTCTAGTCGACTAGAGTCCGCTATTACACACTTGATGTATAGGAAGAGAGCCCTGGCTCTGTCGAAACATCCTCCATGTGCGAGAATCTAGAAACGAATGATTTAACACATGAGTTAGCATATACTGTAAACATAATTGAGACACACCCTTAGTTAAAAACTAGACTTAAGTAAATATTAAAACTGGATCGTTTATAATCGTTTTCGTCGTTCTTAGCGTGTGCGTGTAAAAACAATTGCAATAACAGAGAACTACGAACGCAGAGAAGCGACACTCCTTTGATCTTGCGTGGGCAAGCCGCCAACGAGTGAAAATGACAGGAAAGCACCTTATTTTTTAATAGTCAGTGGGCATATTACACAATATAAATTCTTAAATAAAATTGAGCATTTATGTTGACTTTCAATAAATATGAAATATTGCACTGAAAAAATAATTACATGCAGGGCCGGCTTTTGTTGACATTCTATGGTGTAATTATTTTTGATTTACAAAAGGTTGCAAATACATCGCACAACGCAAAGTAATGGTGAAAATCGTATTGATGGAACCATAGATGAAAATACTTTTTTGTTTATTCTGATGTTGACGTTGATAATACAATAATACACCGATTCTTTTTGGCTTGTGTTGATACAAGATATTATTTATTTTTTATTATATTATTTATTATTATATTACTTATTATATTATTTTTTTTGACAATAAGATTATCTTCACAATGTAGTTCACAAATCCTATAACTATTATAAAGTATATCCATTTTTAACAATAAATCGTCTCGTCTGCAAGCTTCTATCCACATTTTGGCACTACAAATTTTTAACAGAACAAATTTTAAACAAAGAATTTTTTGTATTTAAAAATAATACTTCATTACTTACAACTATAAGAGTATTAGTATATTCTAAGTGTATTGTAAGTAATGAAGTATTTAACTTTTGTCAATATCTCATCTTAATAAATTTACAGTTTTCTCCTAATTAAGTCTCAAAATTGTCACTAAATATTGAGATATACAATAAATAAAGTTTTAATATTTTTTATTTGTTTTTCCCATTTAAATATTTATTCCCTAAATATGTTGTGTACTCCGATCCATATATTTGATCTTTGTTATTTATATTTAACGAATTAAACATTGACAGACAACTTTTGTATATAGCAAAGAGTAGATGAGCATTTAGTTTTTTCATAATTTAATGTAAGTTTGTTTGGTGAAAAAGACAGCAAATATTTGAAGTTATGTTAATGTAAGTTTGTTTATTTTCAATCATGTTTTTATTTTGAAGTCTTGTTCTGTTATAATTTTAAGATTTTCCCAATTTTCGATCTAATTATGTTTCCAACAATTTTTAGTTTGAGCATTTTAGGAATTTCTTTGTTTCGTTTAAATCAAATATTCTAGTGTATAAAACCCTCTATATATTTTTATTTCCTAAAAATACTATATTCGTATTGTTGTCTGCGAGCGCTTTCACAGCAGTAGGCCAACATCTGTGTTGATTTTTTGACCTGAGCCTTCGGAGACAATAAATTTAATGTGTGTTCGTAGTTCTCTGGTTTTTATTCTGAACTATCCCTTGGCAAACCAAAATTTATTTTTTTATTGCTTCACTTTACGAGAGCTCGGGCGGACACATCGGTGTCGGCTTACTCAAAGTCAAATTAATACTATTATGTAATAACTAATAATAATTACAAAGCAATAGTTATTACCTGTTATTATTCTTAGGAGATCTAAATAAACTTATTCCTTTTCCTGTCACAGATGAACATCCGCGAAACGCACAACAATAACCAGAAGACATTTTAAATACTTATAAATTAAACTTTTAACTATAAACTATAACTATAAACTTATATATTTAACTTATATATTTTAACTATAACTATAAACTATAACTATAAACTTTTAACTACTAAATAATTAGATAAATGGTCAAATGCACTTGTATCAGACTTGTATAGTCGAGAGTTTACCACAGATGCCTACGGACTATCGTAAGCAACTTAAAGTTGAAGAAAACGCACGTGTTTTTGACAGTAAAGCACCTTATTTGGGTCATGCGTATACAGAAAAGAGACACGAATTCCGGGCCTCGTGTCGCTTCTCTGTGTTCGTATGTTCTCTGGCAATAATAAGTTGTTTCATCTATCTTTCCTTGTCTACGCTCGATTCGTTTACCTCCTCCAGTGGCGGAGCAAAATGTAGCATGTCAAACGAAATAATAGTTATAAAAGAAAATTATAAATTATTTTTCATTAAATTTCTAATAACGGAATATACGTATAAATTGCGAAGAAGTATTTTTCTAGCTTGCAGTACAATAGGACAGGATATAACGAAAAGTACATTTTAAAAGGGTTTTGAAATATACCCAAAAAAGTGTTAATTATTTAATTTAAATACTTTAATTAAAAAATGATACAGATTTTCTGTACGAACTGTAGCGAATTCTGAATTGTTACAACGTACTGACCTTGATTAATTAGCTAATCAGTCAGCGTCTTCACTGGAACTGTCTTCATCATTGGAATCTTCCGCCAAATCGATGATAATCCTACTTTCATTTTCATCATATGTGACCATTTTTGCCCAGTCGTCCTGAATTAATTTTTCAGTATGGTTAACACAACTCGCCCACACTGCAAGTGTTGCCTCAGCTAATGCATCGCCCCAAACTTTTTTCACTGTTTTATCTCCACGTCCATGTTCTCCAATATGACGATCATAGTATTGTTTAGAAATGCCCCAGACCAACTCAATCGGATTATATTGACAGTGATATGGAGGCAATCTCAAAACCTGATGCCCATGTTCTTGGAGTAGCTCGTCTATAACGTACCTGGTATTTTGTGCTTTATTCTGGCGACAAAGACTCAATAGCTCTCAATTCTGGCATCAGTAGCTCTGTCTTGTCCGAATCGTCGTCAAAAATTATTTTTTTCGCTCGTAACCATTCTTGTAAGTCCGATTTTTTCAAACTGGCATTCGGTAACTTTTCTATTAAAAAGCTATGGTATGAGGCATTATCCCTAATAATTAGAGATGGTTCATCCAACATTGGTATCAGCTTTTCGGAGATCCACTTTTTAAAAGACTCTTTATCCATAGAATCATGATAGTCTGCACTCTTCGATTTCGTAGAAAACAGTAATCCAGCATCTTTAACAAATCCTTGCCTATTTCCGGCATGTAAAACAACAAAGCGTTTACCTGTATTTTCGTGTCCTTTTCTGATGCTTTTCACACAGTCATCTTGCCAAGTACGTTTATATGCCCCTTTTAGGAATATCCATGTTTCATCTAAAAAAACGAACTGAAGTGGGCTTGGACTTAAAAAATTTCTCATATAAAGCGTCAAAAAATACAGTCGTTTGGAGACAATACATGGTTTCTCACATAGCACTCGTCTATTATTTTCTAATTTGTATGAAAACCCACAATTTTTTTCATAAGATGCCACAAACTTGTATCATAACCGTCATAGAGATGCTTGTTTCTTAATTGTGTATTTAGAACTTTAATTGTAACGTGCTCTCCTTTTGCTTTCATTCCATACAGTACATTTCTAATCTCTCCTTTTATAGTATCGCTGACATCATTAGTCTTTTTTTGTACATTACGTGACTCTCCTAGTGTAGTAAGAGCTGCCCCTGTCTTGTATTCACTCTTTATTCTTATCACTCTGCGAAGACTGATTTTCAAAGCGTCCGCTACTCGTTCATGTACCGATGATAACAAAATAAAAGGTCCGTTGTTTTCTTTATCTTTTTTAAAACACTCCAATAAATGAACTACACATTGTCGCATTTCTCCTGTTATCGTTTTTCACGGCATTTTTTTTATTAAATAGAACATTTAGTTATTCACAACAAAAAATAATAAGTAAAACTGTTTGGAACAAATTAAAACAATGACTGACTAAAATCGACTAAAACAACATAAAATATCAATGGTAATTGCTACAATTATAAACCTATTAGCCTGCTCATTCAAGAACAATGCCACAAGACATTATTGCAATGGGTATCGGAAGAGAGAGAGAGAGTTAATTTATAATAAACTGGAATTTTTAAGGTGTCGAGAGTATTATTTTATGTAATGGAATTCCACACAGTAAGAGCTCAAACTATTAATTAATTTAAAACTGTTTACTTTAAGTTAGTTTAAAACTATTCCATCAGCTACTTCAAACCTGCACAGATCAGGGTAACATGTTAAAAAAAACACGTCACTGCCAGCTATCTGTATTCGTAAAGAGGCCGAACTTATCACCGACACCGTATCGGCCAAAGCATCGGTGTTATTGCTACAATACTGGGAGACGTGAGTGGTCTCTTCATTCCCTTCTCATCGCACTTTACCATGACGAACGTGACTCGCACAAATGAATTACGCATCTGTGTAGCAGCTGTGTAGTAGCTTATTTCAGGCACACGCCAAGAACGATGAAAACGAGTTTACATGATTTTAAATTTTTTACACACCCATTTAATGTAAACATTTGTAATTTTGCAATTGTGGAGAATCAGTCAAGAATACTTGATTTTAACATCAAGAAAACAAAGTACATGGTCATCAGTAAGAAGCACCTAGTCAATTACTGGTAGAACAGCAACAAATACTCCAAGTGCCCCGTTACTACTATTTAGGAACCACCATAAACGATCAATGGGACCACTCAGTTGGGATAAAAGAAAGAATTGAAAAAGCCAGGTCAGCGTTTGTCAGAATGAGCAAGATATTTAAGAGCTACGACCTACCCTTAAAAACGAAAATCCGTTTATTGAGATGCTACGTGTTTACAGTGCTGCACTATGGGGTTGAATCATGAACACTAACCGAGGCATCCATGGGAAAACCCGAGGCGTTTGAGATGAGGTGTTATAGACGGATCTCCTGGGTGGTCCGAATAACAAACATTGAGGTTTTACGTCGGATGGATAAAACATGTGAAATTATATCCACAGTGAAACAGCGCAAGCTAGAATATCTTGGGCATATAATTCGAAACGATCATAGAAATAACCTGCTGCAACTTATATTACAGGGAAAGGACTACGAAAAGAGGGGACCAGGAAGAAGAAGAATATCTTGGCTCCAGAACTTATGAAAATGGTTTTCCTTGACTATTCCGAGTTGCGGTCAATAAAGTTAGAATTGCCATGCTAGTAGCTAACATCCATAACGGATAGGCACCACAGAAAAAGATGTAATTCTTATAAATAATTCTTTGAGATGTAAAGAAAATAAAACTAAAAATGACAAATTGCATTTTGTGGTAATAAAATTCACATTGTAAAAATAATATATGAATCTTTCACGTAATTACAGAAAATACAGAAATATTCATGAATAATAACGAACATAAGAATTATTTTCTAATAATGATGGTTAGCAGACTAACAACGCTAAAAATTAAAAAAAAAACATATAGTGTATTGAATATACTTATAAAAACTTATTTTAAAGCTACCGGTTTCCGTCCGCCACTGGTAGAAACCATCCGCCCGTTGTCCTCCGGAGGGTTGTCAGTCGGGAGCTGACAGCCGTGCCGGACACATCAGGAAATTCGGATATTGGTCCAAATACTTGGGAATTCCAAGTTTGGCCAAATCCGAATTTCTGATTGGCTCGATGCAGAGGAAATTCCACTTTTGCTGTGTAAAACAAAGGATTTGTTTTACATAAAAGCAGGTGGATTTTCTCTCATCAGTCAGTCGAGTTTGCCTGTTCTACTGTAGACCTAATCGGTGCTATTATTATTCCAACTAAGTTATTGTTTTATTTCTGATTTCCTATATACCGTTTTTATTTTAGCATTATTGTATATTCCGACCTTTTCAGGTTAGAATATTACACATTTGTTCATGTACTTATTGTTTGATATTTTATTTGATTATTTTGATTGATTATTTTCTTGTGTTTGTATCTAAGTAGTTCTTTCCGGTAAGTCAAAGAACTCTTAGAAATATTGCTTGCTAATTTATTTGACTTGTTAATTTTTGTGTGTCTAAGTTGTTCTTTTCCGGTGAGTCAAAAGAACACTTAGAAGTATTTTCATATTTGCATTATTATTTCTGATACTTTTATCTAAGATATTACTTCATATAATTGACTATTTTATTTTCCATTTTTCGTTAAGTTATTTCTTCCGTAAGTCAAGAAACACTTAGCAATATTTTCACATCTTTTCTGTTTCTATTGTAAGTTGTTTCTTCCGTAAGTTAAGAAACACTTATAAATATTCGTGCATCTATTTTACCATATTTTATTCTCTTGTTTATTTTCTGCTCTAAGTGGTTTCTTCCGTAAGTCAAGAAACACTTAGAGATATTTCTATAATCTATTTCCTTTTTTTGCATTTCTTGTTTTATACTTTGAGTGTTTTATTTTTTTATTTCTAAGCCGTTTCTTCCGTAAGTCAAGAAACACTTAGGAGCATTTCTCTTGTATTATATCTTTATACAGTTTGATTTATTTGATTTACTAAGCTATTCCTTCCGTAAGTCAAGAAATACTTAGATTATTTTTACCTATCTATTTTCCATTTTTGCTCTGTTACTTTGTAACTGTTCCGTGGAACCGTTACCTATAACAGACATTTGTCACTGGAACCGTTATTTATAACAGCAGTGGTATTTAACCCTTATAACCAGCGGCAAATCAAAGATGGTAAATACCCGTTCCAATTCCGGGGATAGGAAGAAGCCCAAAGAGCCGGCGGTGGGTCCTACAGGTCCAAATGCCACCTCTCGGCAACACCGTCTGGGCGAAACACTACGTCACATTCCCAAACTAATGTTTGTCGCAGTCTACAGAGAGAGGACCGGCCGGCAGTGGCCGAAATTGGAAAATTTATTTATTGTAGAATATTTCAATATATCTCAACTAATCCTACTACGTTAATAATACTTCACCTGAACTAGACATTTATCCAAAACAGCTAAGGCTTGTGAAACCATCCCGACGTGAAGCATACAGTTGGCCAAATGGAGATGAATTATTGCTGATTGGTAGTCCAATTGAGAAGCCTGTGACTCAATTAGGCAATTGTTAAGCACCGTCATAATTCCTGAAGAGATACTGTCTGGATAAGTGGTAGCAAACTGAATTTCCATCTTGAGAACTTTGGCTCGGACGTAGTAATATCTAAAATAAAATTGTTTGGCATTTTAAAAATATTCTACTTAAATTTGAACACCTATCGAAGACGTACAGCCTATATTTAATGTTAAAACGATTCACAACCTCTTACCTGTCACTAAATTTGTAAGTATTATCATTCTCGTATTGGTTAAGTAAAGTTTCAACATAAGTATCAGCTTGTACGTAGTTCCTTTGGTAGAAATGCACCTCTCCCAATCTCAGGTACCCTTCCCACTTATCAAACACCATGATCTTTTGCGCAGCAGCTTCGGCTTCTTCAAATTGCTCATGATAAAGAGCCATCATGTAGTGGAACATGTTCTCGCATAGTTTCCAAACGACGGAGTGCGGTTCATTGGGAAATCTGGAATAAAAATATTGCATAATTGATGGATTCGACCGTTACTTGATGGAAATTCATTTTATGTAACAATAAAACACTGAAAACTTTGTTTTCAAACTTCCACAAAATTTATTTTCTATATCACTCTTATCACTACAGCTGTTTCGGCTGATTGCCTTTCTCAAGTGATCTATTTTTGGCATGCGTTTACAATTTATAGTCTCTAATGAAATAGGTTGAGGAGGGGAGAACTGTTTGTCTCAAATTGGTCATTCGGAATTATATCTGTGTTTTTTTAATTTGTTGATTTCCATAGATTCTAACAAAGATAACTTAAGGCTTAAGACTTAATTTTGAATGTGAAGAATTTTAAATTTGTCATTAAAAGAATGATTATGATGTAGAAGGTGAAGTGCGTATGTCGAATCTGTTTTTCTATTATTGAAAGCCCTTTTATGTTCTGCTATTCGTTTATTAAAGTTCCTACCAGTTTGACCGATGTAAGTTTTTGGGCAGTCGCCACATTGAAGTTTGTACCCACCACTATTTAAGTGTTTTTTATTTTGGCTCTTGTTATTTTTAATATATTTGCCTAGGTTGTTATTTGTTCGCAAAGTTGGTGTTATTCCTTTCTTTTTTATGTGTTTGGCTATTTTTGTTGATATTTTGCCTGTATATGTAATCGAGCAGAAGGTACTGGGTTTTTTCTCTGGTGGTGGAAATACTAATTTCAGGGCTTTCTTGTGTAGTTTTTGATTTAACATTTTATTAATTGTTTGTTCGTTGTAACAAATAGCAGTAAACAACGGATACATTTTAGGTTAAAATTGGGGCCCTAGACGCAAAATTTGAAGCTCCGCTTCTTAAAAAACTGGAGTCATGTGGATATTTTTCAAATTTGTTGGAAACGCCCTTTTACAAATATCTCATACGAGAGACGGCTTACAAATAAAAAACAGTGATTACTCGTTCAGAATTGACACATTACATTGAGTAAAATTCACTTTTTTCAACAAATTTGCTGTTTTTTCCGACTAAACACAACGACGTTAGTTCTCCTTGACCAAATATTCAAACCTGACTTTATTTCGACCTTTCTCGTATCGGCCGGCTTCCTATGCCACACTTTTCACCTCTAACCTTGCAATGGGCCAATCCAAAATTCTTGTCAAACACGCTATTTGACCTCGAATCATTGCTTGGTTTTAAAATTGTAGAACTAACACGTAATAAATGAATTATTTAACTTCCAGCGGTAACTGGAATTTGGAATGTTTTCTTTACATCACAATATAAACAGAGAATCGGCGAGATATTTATACTTGGCCCAGGGGCGTACCTACTATAAAAATTTTTATTACTAGAATATTAGATAATTTTGGTATTTTCTTCATGCTACAGTTTATATCGTCCGAATTTACTTTAGACAATTTATTTTTGGTTTAAAGTCCGCGTAAGATTGATTTCAGTATTGTCAATATCTAAAATATGAACTTACCTCGATTTAGCAAAATTTAAGACACAATGGCCCAGTGTATATTCCCCTTCGACCATTAGATTATTGGCAATATTACAGACTGCAATACAGAATCCCTCTCCATAGTAACCTTTACTAGGCGTAAGAGAATCCATGTTTTGGTATAGCAAAAGCTGGCTCCAAAGAGAACACATCTCGTTTTTGCCATAAAGCTGCCAAAGGGATGCCTTCATCGCATAATTGTTTGATGTGAGGTCTTTGTAGTTGTGTTGGCAGTTTAACATATCACTTCTACCTAAAGTCTGAAAAAACAACAAATACCAGTAGTAAACTTTTTATGTAATCACATTTTAAACATACAACTTTACGTCAGTGGTAGGTTATAAAAAATATGAGACATATATCACTAAATAATCTGGCAAATAATAAGTGAAATGACTCATGAGCGTGATCAGTTGGATTTTTCGTATCATTTAGTTATCGCTATGAATGTTACCAGGAATAGTATCAGTAGCAGAGGAAGGGTTATATAGTCAGTATATGTTTAGTTTTCTCAGAGTTATAAGTACATTGTACAAGCCCAAACAACTATATGTTGGAACAAGCAGTTATTTTGCGAATATAATGCCAATTTAGCAAAATTCGTTTATTTATTTATTTTTTAAATTGTATAACATCTTTTATGATGTAAGGAAATAATTTTTGGGGCTTAATTATATATTTTATATTTAATACTATGTAATTAATTGTTTGATAATAGAAAACTGCTGACAACTAAATGTTGGAACATTTTTTGCTTTTTTTTCACGTTTCTTAAACTTTACCAGCCTGACACAAAGAAGGCTTTGAAAGCAAACATACGAATAGGTAGTGAGTTGTTAACAATAATTGCCATGGCTCATTTGAGTATGAATAAAGACAACTGTCAGTTTTATTATGAGTAAAATATAATAATGGAACGTGGAAACCCTACTGATCCAAAAGTTCGAGAAATTATTATTTATCAGTATCATGGCTGATGCTCAGGCCATCCAAAAGCTGTTTCTCAAATAAATGCATTTAATTCGAATATGTAAGTTGGGAAGAAGAAATATACTACGAGAAGTAAACGTTAGAAGGAATAAAGAAACTGGGATGAATGTTTCCAGAGAATCCTGTTTTTTGATTTATTCGAATAGGCCAAAGAAAAACCATTGCTGACGGAAACTCAAAAAAGCGGGAGATTATCGAAAGCGTGTGCTTCGGCAAATAGTGTAATTCGAGAAGCATTCCATAAGGATATTCTCTTCTTCTTCTTAAAGTGCCCTCTCCTCAATGGAGGTTGTACACGAAATTTTACAGTATTATAATGTAAAAAATAAGATGTAAATTATTCAGTGACCCCAGCTGTACATAGAAGCAATATCAGTGAACATAAATATAGATAAACATATGTTTATATCATTTGGATTTTCTAACCTATATAAGAAATAATAAAATGTTTAAAAAGTGAGGAACATCTAATGAAAACCGAATATTGTTAAGTTTTTCTCTCGAAACTGAGCATCCAAAAAATAAACAATAGTTAAATACACAAAGTATGAGAATGTTGGTAAAAACGCCACAATGTCAGAAATTTTAAAGACACAAAGTTTTGTTACAAACAAAAAAGAAACTTGTGTAATGGGTGGTCCAATAAGCCGATCTCTCGGCTATATATCAGAAAGTATTCATGTTATAACTTTAGGAGAAAAAATTCCTTAGTAAAAGTGGCCAAGAGAAATCGCTAGAAATAACTTTCAAGTTTCTGGGTTAACCACTAGGGGGCGTAACCTATGAAAAAAACTTAGCACACCCGTTTTTTTGGGAAATATGTCCAATTATACCAAGTGTTAAATAAGTAAACTAGAAAGAGGCCTAAATTCTGCACAAATTTGTTCAAGTACTTTTTTTTATTTTTTCAAATAAAGGGTGGGGGAGGGTGGGAAAGAATTTGTGGATAGATACCTAACTTTGGTTTGGATCAACCGATTTTAACGAAATTAGTGTCATTAGAAAGTGTGTAGATGAATCAATTTATATCTACTATAAAATAATTAGAGATTAAGCGGAGAATGGGAGTGCAATCAGACATAATCGACTATATAGAGGAGAAGAGACTATCCTGGTACGGCCACGTCAGAAGAGCGGACAGATGACGCTGGATAAACAAAATTACAGAATGTAGCCCGATCGGAAGAAGAGAGGAAGACCCCGAAGGACATTCAGAGACGAAATCGACGAGGCAATGGAGAAAAGAACCCTGCGAGATGGAGACTGGAATGACAGGGAAAATTGGAGAAAACGGTTGAGTGAAGGAAGACAGTGAAAACTGTGGAAATCCTTAGTAGTAGTATAAAATAATTGCATTTAGTTTTAATTGTCATAGGTAGGGGGTACTTTCGATTAGAAAAAATTAAATTTTTTTTTTTCAAAGTGTTTAATAGAAACACCTATATAAACCTAGAGATCGGCTTATTGGACCACGTCGGTACATATCACATTTTGTCATTTTTGTTTGTCTTACCTCAAATATGGCGTAGGTTTTGCCCGTATTTAAGCATTCGTATTGTCCAAACGTTTGCAATCCCAGTGAAGCAGTGTAACTCAACTTCAGTTCGGAACTCTTTAGTATACAATGGATGATGAGTTTATCTTCGTTGACTGTGGTAAGGCGATACAGCCAGGACAAAGCATGTTGAAGGCAAACATTGTCGTTCGCTTCTTGTGATACCTTGATAGATTCCCTAAGTGCTGCAAGAGCTTCTTCACTACAAGAATTGTCATTGTATAGAACAACTTGGAAATTATTGATTAAACTATATATTAAAATTTCAGTATACCGTTTGTCATTGTTTACCACTAACCTACCACTAGAAATAATTAGAAGATAAATGATAAACACAAAAGAAATCATTTTTTAAAGGACAATGTTTAGCTTTCGCGAATTACCTTATAATATGCTCATGCTCTCTAGGTATTCGTAGCGCCAATAGCCAGAGAGTAGCAGGGATACCTGCCGTGGAAAAAATACTGACAGCTGTCAGTAGGTATAAAATGTATTCCCATGAAAATAATGAATTATAATTTATGTTTAGGGTCTCTGCCTGGGGATCGCTAGGGCACGTGTGGAGCCGGCGCTGGACGTGACAGCGTGCGGGACGTGCTGATGGTGGTGCGCTGGAACATCAGTCGGTGCTCACTCAAGCCGGACGAACAAGGCAGCGCATGAAATGGACTATGTCCATGAATAAAAATATTTTGCGCTTTTATTATAAGGTGACAAACCTCGGTCAAGAAACAAATCCACGCAGTGCAGTAGAGAAACAACATAAACGCAATATCAAGGGGAAGAGGAATTTGGGTATTACAAATATATGTAATGAATATTAAAAATATTACAATTTTTTATTTGTATATTTACCAGAGAAGAGAATATATACTAAGCGGCTCGGTATACACTACGTTTTATGTTATAACAATTGCGAAATTAGAACAAATCTTATACATTATAGTATAAAGTCCAAAATTTACAATCTTATTAGTAGCCATACTTACATGTGTCCAAAATGGTAGTGCAAAATTGCTAAATTTAGTGCAGCAAATCGATGCCTCTTGCTCTTTTCATCATTATAGCATTTAACATCTGGATCAACATTTCTATCAAAGCAATGGAACAAACTATCAACTGATCCACAGTATTCATCAACACGTAGATAGTTTAAATAAGAAAGAAAATGCTAAAAAAGAAAAAAAATTTAAACTGTTTTAAAAAGTATGTTATAGAGAATTGCTGAAGACTGTTAAACATCGGAAAATGTCTTATCCGGGACATATAGTAAGGCGAAATCAATATAGAATATTACAACTGATGGACGAACTAAACATTCGTGGATGGACTGAAATATCAAATGCAGGAAAATTATTCCATGTGGCAGAAGATTGAAATGCCTTCGCAATGGTGATCGCCAACTCTGATATGGCAGGAGAAGAAAAACAAGAAGAGGAAAACTAGAAAGAAAGCTATTAAACATTTAAACGAAAGAACAAAAGGAATATAGACACACCAACAGAATGAATCAATGAAGGATAACAAATCACGTAATGGAATGCAATTGATATTGATTCCATTACCTTAAGAAGATATGGTAAAAGAAGAAATGTAAAATGGAGAAAAAGGTAAGGAAAAAGCTTAATGTGAATTATATATCTTACCGCTCCTGACAAATCTGGATTTGATTTCAAAATATTCACAATTCTCTTCTGTAATTCAGGTGGAGGCAGAGCTTTTTCTTCATCATTAGACAACAAAGCAGCCTGGGTAGCTATGAATAGCTCTGCCTGTCTTCTAGACCAGTTTTCTTTAGTATTTAACCTAAAACGAAATATACTTGTGTTTATGACAGTATTTGGCTCAATAAGCCCAGAAAATTAAATCAGACAAAAACGATAAAAGAATTTACAATAAAGACAGAAAATATGCATATTCAATATATTTAAATATTATTATCACAAATATCGCATTGAGGATGGCATAAAAATATGCTACGATAAAGCGAAACTTCAACAACAGTTTAAAACTGCTTTGGCAGAGTTGCGTGCTTGAGAATAGAATGGAGAATCTGACTTGATTATTAAATTTACAAAGGGGATTCCGACAGTTGCTAAAAAAACTTCAAAAAACCAATCGCACTAAACACTATGTCTGTATATTATCAGAATCTTGGAGGAATATGTACTCGACTCGATGAACTTCGAACCTCCATCTTCCACTGCAACTATGATGTCATTATTCTGGTAGAAACTTGGCATAATCAAGATTATTCAGATAATGAATTGTTAAACTTAAGCACTAAGCAGCATGGAGGAGGAGTTTTAATTTTGTTACGAAACCATTTTAAAGCTAAACAAATCAAATCTGAAATTAATAATGTTGAGCATCTGTTTGTTCAAGTGGATTATGAATGTGTATCAGTTATCTTGGGTGGAGTGTACATTCCTCCAAACTCATCAGAAGATATTTACCTAAGTCATTGCTCGGTAGTTGAAACTAATAAAAACAATAGGCCAAATGTACCTGTATATTTATTCCGTGTTCATAATTTAAACTCTATCCTCAATGATTTACCCCTGTTCATTTCTTAATTTGTGGACGTTTTTTCTTCCAATGGACATGCTCTGTCTGAGTACTTTCAAGCTTTTGTTTTCTTCTATTACTCTAGTTATTTCCATCGTATTGTATCGTCTCAGATCTTTTCTAACTTCCTTTTAATTTTCTTATTCAATATTCTTAGTTTATTTTGGTTATGATCCTGATTTTCCTTAAGTTTTCTTCTTTCCTCTAGAAGATGTTTTGTGTTGTGGCTTAATTTTTTGTTATTGTTTTCAGGACGAGGACAGTACTTCTTTTCAGCTTCTTTCAATATTTGAGTAATATTATTGTTCGTTTCATTGATGCTGATATTCTTTAAGTCATGTGTATCCAAACTAGTCTTAATATTTTCTTCGTAAAGTGTATATCTTCTGGGAACACCCACCTTTCACTTTTCTTTTTGAGGACCATTTTTGTTCTTTCAACTTCAGTGTTAAAAGTGGTTTTTGCTCTAATTAGTGTATGGTCACTCCCTGTTGAAAATTTATTCAATACTATTTTAACCATATTTACACCCTTGAAAAAATTCAAAATAAGTTTCTCCGGGTTTGTGCTTATAGATTAAACTTAAGGAACATGTCTTTGGTAGAACTAAGGTCAAGGCTGAATATCAGTTCCTTAGAAGACTACAGAACTAAATGTGATCTAGTATTTCTCCATAAACTACTTGACCATACCACTGACTGTTCTGATTTATTAAGTCTTATCAACTTTAGATGTATCACTAGAATTCTTAGAGACATGCCTTTGTTTTCTATAAACACTATCACACTAACTATTGCAAATTCTCTCCTATTACCAGGATTTAGATCCTGGGAAATGACTTTAGCCAATCTCATGATATGGTGGATATAAAGTCTGTAAGATTTAAGCACTGTTTGACTGAGTATGTTAGGAATCAAAGATGAGTGACACTTGGGAGTATTCATTTCATTTCATTTTATCAAGATCATTTCATTCATTTATTTTATTAAGATCATTTCATTTTATTTTATTTTATTAAGATCATTTCATTTTATTAAGATCTTCAGGAAATTTAATTTAATCATTTGTTTAACAATAATTATTAATCATTATTGATAACTCAGTTTAAGTACTTGTATTATGGTTGGTATATTTTATTTTTGATAAATTTTGTAAAAATGGGGACATCCCGTAAATAAATAAATAAATAAATAAATATGCTATGCCCATTTGCAACCAAAAGATATAACATATTATAAAACATAGTATATAGCTCACCAATTATCAGCAGGTTCCTCATCCGTTTGTATATGTTTAGCACTTTTTTCTAATTCATTGTAGTATGTTTGGAAGTCCTCGTACACTTTCGCAACTTCTGAGAAGGTTAGTTTCTCAAAAAATACTATAAATCTTCTTAAATAATACCCTTAAAAATATATTCCCACCATATAATATATGTATATATATACATATATATATATATATATATATATATATATATATATATATATATATATATATATATATATATATAATAACAAACTAAAATAAAAGCCCTCACAAAAATGCTAATTAATATTAGTTTTTAAATTCAGTATGCGTCAAAAACTATACATGCCTATTCGTCAGCATATCATTGCATTGTCAGGATGCATTGTTGGTTATGTAACGAACGTTGTGCTGTGTGGTTAGAAGTAACAATAGGTATCAGGAGGAATAAGTATTCATAGTAGAGTATTATATTCGCTTACATAGAAATGGTTATTAAGGTGCGCCGAATTTAAAATATGTGATGTAAATAAGAAATGGAGAGTACAATGAATTAAAGTACATAAACTATAGGAGAGTTACACTTTTCAATGATCTGCTAAATAAGATTGTCTGTATATACAGAATAGGTATTAGAAGAGTGGATAGAAGAATCAGTGTGGATATTGTCCTGGTAGAGAGTAGATCAGATCTTTCTAATGTGTCAAGCAACGGAAAAATGATGGAGATTTGCACATACTGTTTATACATTTCCTAAGGCATTTAATTGCGTAATGAAGTCAAGTGCTATACATAATGCAAAGCTTTGTAGTATCGAAGTATAAAAGAATTCAGTATAATGTAGGTTATGCTGAATTCTTTTTTTTTTTTAACTCAATTTTGCAGTGTAATTTTATATTAAATAAATAATTTATGTTTCAACAAATATTTTCTCAGTATTTTTGGCAGTTTCTATGAAAAACTTCAAACACAGTTTTCTTGAAAACCTGACGTGCTGGAAAAAAAACTAAGTACAGATTAGTGATCAGCACATCCCATTTACTATAGGACACCTATTCAACTTAAAACACTTTTTCATAAAAATAAAAATGTGGGCCTGTGTAATTAAGTGAATTCTAAATAGTTTTTTAATGTAGGTAAAGTTTTAGAACTATCCCAGGAAAGTGTAGAGGAATAACAACTTTAATAATTTATACCAAACATTCCCAGAGAGTAACAATATCAGTTGCAGAAGTTTGGAAGTTTATAGTTATTAAAATAAAAAAAAATGATGAAAACAAGGTAATGGAAGCATGTTGTGTTGGACAATGTGACAGGAAAAGGTTTACCATGCCTCACACTAATCATAAAATCAGGTATATGTATCATACTAGAATAGACTCTTACCTGCAATACTAGTTTTAGCTATGGCATTATTACTGTTTAGGGGATCATCAGATTTATCCATAATTTTCAATAAACTATCCACAATATCCAGTAAATTGCCAATTCCTTCTTCATTTAATGTGGCCAATGTTTGATCAAAAGATTCTATCAAACTATCAGGTATCACATATTTTTTGGATGTTAATAATTTCCTCAAATCAAATAATGGTAGGTCAGGACTTTGTATTAATCTTAGAGTTAAAACACAGAAGTCTCTTCTGTATTTGCACATGAGTGCTTGATCTTCCATCTCCTTAAATTTTTCTGGAAATAAAAAGAAATTATAAGGGTGACAATATTAAATTTATTAATTTAATTGTATGCTCTCTGGTACACTCAGGTATTGAATACTGCTCTGTTGTTTGGATCCCATTTCATCTCAAGTCTACATTGATGGATTGGAGAGCATTCAGAGGAAGTTTCTAAGATCTTTAGCTTTTAAAGCACATACTGAAAGTATTTCACAGATTATTCTATATTAATGGTATGTTATTTTTGTTTAAAATTCTAAACAATGTTATTAATTGTCCCCCGTTATTAGCCAATGTATACTTAAACATAATACATAGAACTTGACACACTGCACTCTTGTATATTCCTTTCCATAGGACTGATTATGCTTGTTATTTTCCCTTGTCAAGAATGCTCAGTTCTTGCAATGACCTCCTATTGGATCAGTTATGTCTAAACATTAATGTTTTCAAAGGAAATTTACGAATATTAATTTAGATATGTTATATTTTTTAACTTTTGTGATTTGATATACTGTTTTAATGTACAAATTTTTACTTTTTGATCCTTACATTTTACTATTTGTTGTATTTTATTGTAAATGGTTGTACGGTTGAAATAAATAAAAGTGTATCAATCAAAATAAATAGCTGTCCCAATATAAGAGCTACACTAAGTAAACTATTTAGAGCATTTAGATATTTTGTCCATAGAGATGATGACCATTATCAAAATTGATCTAGCTATCACAATAATCATACTTTAAGAATAAATGTCTTTTTCTAAGTTTCTTATAACTAGAAGTAACAACTTCAGGTGTCATATATTCTGCTACATGATCAGTTTTCAGTTCTGATTTGATCTCAGTTTCCTAACTGGTAGCAGTGAGAGACCACTATTTGGAGAAGGCCATGATTTTGAAATGGACAGAGATTAAAATCCCGAGGATGATAAACAATCTCATAATTCTTCTTCAGGCAAGCTAAAAGTTATTGTTTAATAAATCTGAGGAGGAATGTACAATACTTTTCCTCTTGAACCTTTCCCAGGGGAAAAACAAGGCTCAGAAGAGAGGAAACATGGAAATGTTATTAAGAAAAAGAAATTGAGAATCACAGGGCATCCTTATTTGGATTGTAATATGAGGCAACACAAGTAAAAAAAGTTATGTGAGTATGATTACTGGTGTACTTAGGTTTCATTGCAATGAAAATATTTCTTAGAAGGAATCATGGAAATCATAGAGGGAATATTTAATGAATATAGGAAGCTAGGTAAGTGGGAGCTTCACACATCGTTTTTAAATGGTGTCTTAGAATTGTAGCCTGTCATGAGGAAGAAAGCAACAGCAGTCAATCATAAAAACATATCATGTAACCATGAAAGAAGGGAAGGGCCAAACAAAATTCCAACAAGCAAAGTGGAGATAATTATGGAGCATATAAGAAACTTTCCCACTTACTTAAGCCATTATAGTAGGACTAAATCTCCAAACCAAAGATACCTAAACCCAGGCTTGAATGTACCAATTATGTATAAACTTTAAGAAAAATTTTGTAGACAAAAAAAAGTTAAACCTGAAAAAGAAAGCTTTTACAGATTTATATTAAAAAAAATTCAATTTAAGCTTCCACAGATCTCACACCTGTGTAACTTGGGTTGTATTTACCGAAAGTACAAGCTGATCATAGCCACAAATGTCAAACATGGAACAAACAATTTCGGTTTGACAGTGTTGGCTTGTTTTTATAATGTAGATGCTGTATGCTTCAAACATAAAAAGATAAAGATTTAGAAAAGTTCATTTTGTTTATATTATTTTATGAATTTGGTAATTTTCGATTTCTATAAAACAAGAATGAGTAAATATTTGTTTCTTTGGGAGTTTAATTGCAGTTATTCATTATAAATTTTTTTGGCAATTACCCTCTGATAGATTAGGGGATACATTTGGCAATCGTCAAAACAGCAGTTGCCAGGTTGCAACAGATGTTTGCAATTAATCTGGAAAGAGATAAATATTTACTTGTTATTGTATCATATAAATTAAGAATTGCAGAATTCATAAAATGGTATAATCAAAATGTACTTTATAAAGCTTTCTCTCTTTATATTTGAAGCATATAACAGATGCATTTTAAAAACACCTAAACACTGCAAAACCGAAATATTTTAATTCTTGGTTGACATTTGTGGCTATATTCAGCTTGTACTTTCGGTAAACTTAACCTGTACCTTATAATAAGTTACAGATGAAAATTAGCCACGGCATGCCTGGTAAGAAGCAAGCAGCTGAAGTTGAAAAAGAACTTCATTTAAAGAAAGCATATAAAGAAGATAAAAGAAAGTGCAAATTATTAAAGAATTTATTAAAGAATGAAAGTCGTGTTGTGATATGCTTTGATTTGCAAAATGTGATGCCAACACCTTATGTGACAAATTCAAAAACCTATTATTTACGTCAACCCTGGACATACAATTTAAATATTTACAACCTAAGGCAGGTAGGAGATGCCAGGAGAAAGCTTCTTGTTTGTTAAAATTTGTTTGAAGTCTTCCTCAGACTGTGAAACGCATTTCTACATTCAGTGAGAACTGTGGAGGGCAAAACAAAAGTCACCTAATTGTCAAATTTTGGCTTTATATTGTTAAGAATACCCAAAAAAAACTGTTAATCACCACATTCTAGTCATTGGACATTCCTACAATGAATGTGATCAAGATTTTGGAATCATAGAACTTAAAAATAGAAGAACCAATGTGATATATATGTACCAGAAGACGAAGATATAAATCTGGCTGCCTCAGTAAGTCAAAAATTTAATATGACTAAGTTAATGTATGCAGACTTGATTGATCTTCAACTACTAAATCAGTACTTCTAGAAAAATGTGCTAGTGATACCAGGAATGCAGATATTGCATTAGGAAAAGGCAAACCAAGAAACCGTTTTTTATAAAACAACATCAGAAAAGGGCTCCTATGGTGGAGCAGTACGGCAAGAGATAAGGGCTTGTGGTTCTGTGATACTCCTCCATAGATCCCTACTGGAAGGGCGTGTGCCACCTAAATACATATATATATATATATATATATATATATATATATATATATATATATATATATATATATATATAGTATTTAAATATATATATATATATATATATATATATATATATATATATATATATATATATCCCTTTAGCTACAGGCACTTTTTTAGGCAATATGAAGATAATAACTTTGGTAACAACATTTATGTAATGTATTTTGTGCACATTGAGCATTTTCATTCTCAGAAAATGATGCAATTTTAATTTTCCCTCTTACAATAATATTCTGACTTTTACTTTTTCCAAAATGTTAATTTTGTTACTTAGACCCCATGTTTTATATGGGGCCTCATGTAGCATATACTTCTAAAACCATAAAATTTAGAATATTTATAAATGTAGCAGAGTTATTCTTAAGTGTTAAAATTTAAAGTAAAATAGTACAAACAACTTTGAAACTGCGGCTATAATAAAAATATACCTATTCTTTAGAATTGCTTGTCAAAAAACCTACAATGTTGGACTAACACAGAAACTGTTTCAGAACCATATTAATTCAACTTGTAAAGTATGAATACAATTACAATGAGAATAATGGTGCTATAAACTTCATTGGATTATATGTGGCAGTTAATGTTGCATTAGGATAATGCTTTGAAATGAAGCATGTGAAAAGGAATATTTTTATTACCTGAAGAAAAACCCCAAAAAATAAAAAAAACTTACCATCATCTCTGAAGAGACAAAAGTTTTTGATCAATATTGAAACTGTTAGTCTATGAGGTGTTATTAAATCGTTATTCACTTTTTTTGTGGTTGGTGTAGTTTCTTTTGAAGCCATCTTTTTCTTTGTTTACTATATCATTAGCATTTAAAACTAACCGTGGCTGTAGTAGCCCGGATAATTAAGTGTGTTTACAATTTCAAAATCGTTTATATTATATCTTTGTTCACTTTGGCGCATAACAGAACAACACATAACCTTTTTCTATTTTATTGTTTAAAAAAATGATGTTGACTGACAACATCCTGTCATTCTCAACCTGAATGATTTTTCAAATTCCTTCTTCCACTTCTTTTTCTTCTGTGTTTTCAAATTAAGATCTAGTCAAAGAGAAAAAACAGAAAATAAATACATAAATATAATATTTAAAATACTTACACTTACATATTACGGATTAAGAATACTTATGACTAGATTAAATAATTGTAGATTTTAATCAAAAAACATAAAATTCATAAAAACATATTTTCTCTTAAGAAGAAATCTACAAAAAATTTAAATTTGTAACGATTGTCCAACAGATCACGCCACAGTGTCGATTGGCTAGATTGACAGATAAATATTTTCCTAACCTTGTTTTCATTCGTGAAATTAACGTTCAAAATGGTAATATATTTTTAATAAATATAAGTCTAATATAATAGTTGTTATAACATATAAATATGTTCTCTATGTTTTAGCTGTTTTACTCATTCTTCAAATCTCTAGTTGGAAAAGATGTTGTTGTTGAACTAAAAAACGATTTGAGGTATAGATACACTTTCGGCTTTTTGCAAATTGATGCATTGTAAATATTTTTATTTGTTTTAGTATATGTGGAACATTACACTCTGTAGACCAATATCTAAATATAAAATTAACAGATATAAGTGTAACGGATACAGATAAATATCCTCACATGGTAAGTAATGTATTAAAATCTAGTATTGTTCTGAAGCTATTTTCTTGTGGCATCTTAATGCAAATATTTTTATTGAGAATAAGCCACAATTTAAGTTTAAAATAAGTTTATTTTTGATTATTCGAAAAATACAAAACATTAATTTCCGAACTGGAAATAGAAACATTAAAAATAAACTTGTTTTAAACATAAATTGGGGTTATTCAGAATAAAAATAGTAATTCATATTCATTAAAAACAATTTTAGGACAAACATATGATGCTATCAAATTATATTATCCTTTTTAGCTTTCAGTCAAAAATTGTTTTATCAGAGGATCTGTGGTTCGATATGTTCAATTACCAGCAGATGAAGTTGATACACAACTATTGCAAGATGCAGCCCGAAAAGAAGCATCTGCACCTACTAGATAAGTTATACTAGGGTACCTAAGCATTACTTTTAAGGTATTTTTAAGTTTCTGCGAACTGCATTTACAGAATAAACTAATTTTAGAATTTGTATTTTATTTTTTAAGTACTAGAGGTATAATATTTAATACCATGTTTACATATCTGTCAGATACAGTCTCCTTTCTGTTCTTGCTACTTTCACCTAAGAGATGATTTCAAATCATATACTTAAATAAATGAAAGTTGTCAAAATATCATTGTAGGGGGAATTTGCCACCAGAGAACTAATTTCCAGCGTTTTCTGTCTAAGCAATCTTCAGTTGTTAGATCTCTGGCGGTCATTGCATCGTTGACATTGTCTCTCCAGGATCGTCTTAGTCTACCTCGTTTTCTTCTAGTTGGCGGAGTCCATTCTTCTATTTTTTTTTTTGGCCATCTATTTTCCAGCATTCTCTGAGGGTGTCCATACCAGTTAAGTCTTTTGGCTTTGATTGTGTCTATTATGTCTAGATCGATTTCAATTTCTCTCCGAATATCTTTGTTTCTCACCCTATCAAGTCTAGTGAGCTGACAAAATCGTCTCCAGTAGTTCATTTCCATGGCCTTAATTTTTGATTGGTTTATTTCCCAGAGTTCGGCGCCGTACAGCCAATACTTTCTATTATTGTTTTATAAATTCTTCTTTTATTTTCTTTTGTTATTTTTTTATTCCATAATAATCTGTGTAGCGGTCTAGTGGCTGATCTTGCTTGGCCAATCCTGGAATGTATTTCTTAGCTACTTTCTGCTTTTGATGTTATTTGGACTCCCAAGTATTTAAAATTGTCTGTTGGTTCTATAGTTCCCATTTTGATTTGTAGGCTTTCTGGTTTTTCTCCTACAACTAAGTACTCAGTTTTTTGTATATTAATTGTGAGGCCCCATTTGGTGTACTCATCTTCCAGTTTTCTAAGCATGTAGCCTACATCACTCTCCTCTTCAGCTAGAATGGCTTGGTTGTCAGAGAAGTGTATTGTGTACAATCTATCATCTCCGATTGGTAGGTGCTATGCAGCAGCCTTGCTTTAGGCCCTTACTAATAGGAATTTCTCTAGTTAATCTATTTCCAGTTTTAATGTTTGCCGTCATATTTTTGTAGAGCTGTTGTACTGCTTGTATATTTTTTTTGCTTATTCCTTGTTTTTCCATTGCTACCCAAAGCATTGAAAGTGGTACACTCTCATATGCCTTTGTCAGATCTATAAAGACTATATTAGTTTAAAGGTTGTGGGCTAATCTTTTCTAGATAACTTGCTTTAGCGAGAATATACTGTCCATACAGGATCTGCCTGCACAAAAGCCATTCTGTTCTTCTACATCTGTCATCTCATTTTCAATTTTATTTTTTATTATTTTTCCATACAGTCTTGAGAGTGAATTTATGACACTTAGCCCCCTGTAGTTTGAACAATTCTTTCTATCTCCTTTTTTGTAGATGTTGTTAATCTGTGCTTTTGTCCACTCCGGTGGTAAGTCGTGTCCATTATAGAATAAGGTGAAGACATACGCCAGTAATTCCCGTAATACTTGTGGGCTATGTTTTAATAATTCATTTAGTATACCTTGTGGTCTGCATGACTTCCGATTTTTTACAGTTCGTATTGCATTCTCGACTTCCTGTACTGTTATTTCATCGTCTTCACTGAATTCCAGTTCATATGTTGTTGTACTGATGTTCGTGAATTGAGGTCTTGTTTCAGTCAAAAGTTGTGAGTAGTGTTTGATCCAAGATCTTTCTTCTATTAAATCTATTCTACTCGTTTCTATTTTTCTGTTTGTTCTCAGATTTTTTACCGTTTTCCATGCTTCTCTTGATCTTGTTGACCCTATATATTTGTTGAGTTCTTTGCATTTGAAACATGTATATGTGTTTCAGATAAAAATGTTGGAATCCACTACCGTTTTAAATTAGGAATCATATAATACAGTATACATCCACTATTAGTTGTGACTGTTTAGGAAAGCAGTGGTTGAAGTTAATATGACTACTGCCATAAACAGATCATGTTATCTATATAGATATTCATCTGGTATATTCATTAATTAATTCTTCAGCTTCTTGTAGTGCCAACTCCACTAATGAAGGTTGGTTATTACCACTACAAATTCATCTCTATCTTCTGCTTTTCATAAAAGCATCTATCCGTTTAACCAAGTCGCCATGAATTTTTTCAGCCAGGATATTTGTCTTCTACCAGGACCCCTTTTTTCTTCTATTTTACCCTTTATAATCAGCTGCAACAACTCATACTTTTCATTTCTAAGTATCTGCCCCAAATGTGCTGTCTTTCTTTTATTAATGTTGGTCAAAAGTTCGCTGTCTCTTCACATTCTGTGCAACACTATTTCATTTAATTATCAATAAAAAAAACTGTATTCAAATTTTATTGTAAATTGATGTGCTCCGTAAATGTGTGTTGTTTTATGGTTTAAACTGGCCAAAAATTTTCCATTTTTTGGCAAGTTAAAATTGGAATTGTGTATAAGTAAATTCCTAGAAAATTTTATGTGCAACTAGCTGTTTGATTGAATAACTTTGATGTTGAATCCTTTCTTTACTACAAAAAGTTGAGCATTTTTTCGAGCATTCTAGCAGTTGCCCGAAACTTTGAAGTGTTATTACTCATGACAAGACTACTTTTTGCCCTGTACGATAGCTATAAAATGTGCTTTTTCGCGTGTTCTATAACATACAATAGAAATCTGAAATTTGAAAAAAAAATGACATGTCTGGTTTTTTCCCTATAGTCTTCAAATATGATATGTGATTGTTATGTGTTATGGTATGTTTTGTTGAGAAAACTAAAGAGCTGAATAAGGTTGAGGCAAAAGAAAAATTACCTTACTTATTATATTCTTTTATTTAAAATATACATAATAAAATCTAGACAATATTAAATCCCTATATTTGGCATAAACATTTCATCACAAGTAATAATTCGACTCATTTTGAATGCAAATAGTAAACAATACAACTACATTTCTATTGTTTACTATTTTTATTCGTAATTTGAGGTTGACTAATTTTATATTATAATGTATGTACAGTTACAATTTGTATTTTCTAAGTAAATTCTTGTATTATACATGTTTTCTCAATTAAGTGCACAAATAAATTTTCTGTACAAGTTTTTACAAAGTTTTTAAAAAAATTAAAGTAAATTTCTTTTGTAAGAGTTGTTTTTTACACATCTTTATTTTATTCAATATTGTTTTGTAGGGTTGAAACTTTGATTAAAGATATAACTTTATGCAAACATAATTAACCAGAATTAGAGCTCAAAATGACACCGACAATAATCTAAATGGAAATAAGAGGTCCTGCGAAATTCGTAGCAAACTGCGATTGTCATTATCACCTTTGGCTAGAAAGTATACGGTCTTAGAGGCGTTCCGGCATAATTCAACGGATGATAATTTCGCACCATTACCCGCTCGAATAAGTGTGTCAACCAAATGTCCGAACCTACGGTTTCTCTTGCACTGAGCAGGATTACTATTTTAACAACGAAACATTCTTCTTCTAAATATGCCTATCTTCTAGAGATATTGGCAACCACATTGACCCATCTTATTCTATTCAGAGCAGCTTGAAATAGATCAGTTGACGTTAGACCATTCTATTTCCTAAGATTGGCCAGCCAGGATATAAGTCTACGTCCAGGGCCTCTCTTATGCTCAACGACGAAACATTAGTAGGGATAAACTAATCAGTCTCACTATGCTCCGAATCCAGCCCATGGGAATTCTGCTTAACAATGATAGCTCCAGCATGGAAGGATTAAAAAGCGATAACGCTATGAACGATGAGCCGCCACAAGTCTGTAGTAACTTTTCTGATGATTCTTGCTAAAATCTCTTCAAGCCAAAATGTTGGACAGGCTGTGCTTTCGTAGTACCTATGCATAGGTGGT